CGGTGGTGTTGGGTCGACGGTTGGACTCGATGACCTTAGAGGTCTCTTCCAACCTTAATGATTCTATGAAGCTTCCAAAAGCCAACAAGCAAATAGCATCTATGGGATCTGCAGAATTCCAGACCAGCAAGCATGTAACATTTAAGGCACTGTTCAGTATTAACTTCTTGGGAACACGATCATATTCACTTACAATGAAAAACCTGCTTCTGAAGCAGCAAAAAGGGATTTACAGTCTTCCCTAAAATATGAAATCTGAAGATAAGAATTATCTGAGCAAGCCACATTCTGTGTTTTCTTAACTTATTTGTAGAGTAAGTTGCAGTATTTACAGGGTGAAAAGCCTTCCCAGAGAAGCAACTCCTGCAAAAGCACATAACTACTTTTATTTCTGATTTTTTTTTTTTTTTTTAATTTAAAAAAAACCAACTTTTTATTTAAAAAAAAAGTTTGCGGATCAGGAAAGAAATGTAGCTCAATAATAAATGTTTGCTATATTTTCTGCATTGCTGTATGTTTGCTATTTTCTACCATTTTTATAGTCAGGGCAATATCATAATATTCAAAGCTCTACACCTGGAGTTATAGCTGTTGCTGTAGTCTTGGTTTAATACAGAATTTTAGCAGGAAATTATCTCTGTAGCTAGTAACTGGTGGCTAGATTTGTAAAGACATTTAGGTGCATATAGATGCTGAGAGAGAGTTGGTGAGATTCTCAAAAGCATCTACTGCCCGATTCACACCAATTTGAATAGTAAAATGCATCGGTGCTTTTTAAAGATCCAAAAGCTTGTCTGTCTACATCTTTGGTTGTCTAAATTTCTTTAAAATTTTGACCCTAGATGTTTTGCCCAAGGTCATAATACAACTCAGTGGCAATGTGATTTTTCCTACAAAGCCACTCAGATCTCATATAACAGCATGGGAACTTAGACAGAAATACCACACTCCAAATAAACTTGTATTAGATAAATGCTGACACAGAGGGATTTGAGTTCAACATGATTTATATTCATCTCAGTGCCTATGAAAATCGAGCCTCAAGGAGTTTGGAAAGCAACTGGTCTTTAAAATAAATGTTACTACTATTGGTGTTTATACAACGTATGCCCTGTATTTCTTTAGAACAATAAAACCATCTAAGAAAATGCAGATCACATATGTATTGGGCTCAAATGAATTATTTCACCCTCAACATCTCTTTCAAGTTGTCACGTTAAATAAATCCACTCCTGTGAAGGAAGTCTGCTTATGGTCTATGAATTCACCATCTAGCATGAGAATTTCAAAGTGACATTTTGAGGGCTCAGCCAGTTTTGGACCTTTCTTGGTTTTAATGACTGTCATCTTGACTAACGTAGCAAGGGCCAACCTGAATACTTTAGAAGCTAAAAAGGAAGAGCTGCTGCCCCTCGTATTTCGATGGCAGTATTCCTACCAAGGCTGGAACAAAGGTGTACCTATCATACAGGGATGCACACCACACATTACCCAGCACGTTGCAACTTTCAGTCAAAATAATAGTGTATGCAAAATATAATTAATTTGATTACCTCTCCTGGGTACGGTCTCTTTATGCCCTGTATAGGCAAAGACTGGGGGCGTGGGCCTGGGTAGGCTTGCTGAGGCATCCTCTGCCCATGGGTGCTGAAGGGACTCATTCCAGGAGGCCGAGGCTGGTTCATGCCCATGGGTGGCCCACTCATACTGGAAGGCGTCATTCCTGCTCCCATGCTTGCTGGGTTCATGTTGCCTGGCATAGAAGCAGGGCCACGAGGACCAGGCTGGTTCATAAACTGGTTGTTGTAAGCCTGAGTTGGACCCATCTGGAAAGAGGAACAAACCTTCAACGGAAGAAGAAGAAAAAAAAAAAAGAATAAAATGCGACATGCATTTAAAATGGGAGGAGGGAGCTGAACATGCTTTTAGGGAGGGAAGAAGGGGAGGATTTATGTCGCATTTTCCTTCAATGTTCTCCAACATGTGATGGGCAGTGATGTTATTTATAATAAAAATTCAATTGGAATTGTAGAAGGCATAAGACAGAAAGACAGATGTAAGTGTAAGATGAACAATTAAATTGTTTAAATTGGCTAGTCTATTACTGCAAGGTAACAGGTTAGGAAGTTGGCTGTGTAAATACAGTGCAACATTACAATTTCTAAGACATTGTGCTTCTTTACATCACCTGGCATACGGGCCCATGTACTTCAAAACTCAGAGAGGTAAAAAATGCTAAGGAGGAAAAAACCTGAATTGATCAAACCCTTGTTTATTTTAAGAAAAAATTATGACACAAAGTCATGACATGCTGGAGGCCATGGATCACCAGAAACGCATGTCTTGCATAGCTGTTCTCCTAGACAACATTATTAAAAAGCAAATCTCTCTTCTACTATTGTTTCCTTGTTTGAAGGGAAAAAAACAACCAACTGTAGTTAGCAAAATAAACAATTCTTACCAAGTGGTACAAAACCTATTCCAAGATTCTGGAACATTTCACTAGGTACTCAAATTTAGAGGTTCACAGGGCTGGCAAAGGCAGCAATAATAGACCACGTCAGATGTAGCCGTAACTTTGGGTAATATCCAATTTTTTTAAGGGGCAATCTCCAAACTACAAGATACGCTTAGGCAAGATTTATTGGGAAAAACACGGGAGACCAACTCATACCTACATACACACATTCCAGCCGCTTCTCATAAGCATTCATAACCATGCTCATGCAAAAAAAAAAAAAAAGCATTAGGCACCCTAATAAACAGGGGAGTGAGAAGGACAGTCCAATTCCCTGTAATGGTCCGGATCAGGCAGGTATGAAGACATAAGGGTTACTCTCTTACCGGTCCATACTGGTTCATGTCCTTATTCTGGGTTTCCTGAAGGGCTGCCACAGTAGCTGTAGCTGTAGCTGTCGCTGCACCTGCAGCAGCAGCAGCAGCTGCAGCTGGCTGGGTGAAATCAGCTGGCGGCCTCGTGTGTGGGGGGATCCCCATTCCTGCCGGAGTATTTGGGCCTCCAGGGTAACTAACAGGGAAGAAAAGAAAAAGAGAGAGAGAGGGAGGGAGGGAGGGAGAGGGAGAGGGAGAGAATTAAGACATGCCTGGTGGATTTTGTTTTGAATGTTGGTGTGATCCTCATCTGGAACTGTTCCAAAACCACGTATCAATGCCTAATGAAAGCCAGCAGGATGGGGAATTAGGTGTGTACATGAGATACAAGTGTTGTTCAGGTGCAACAGTCACAGGGCTGCCACCGGGATTGCAAGGCACCACTGCCAGTTGTTTCGGGGGCAGTGAACTGCTTTGCAGCTCTATAGCTTACTGGGAAGCTGAACTGAAATCCTGGAAGTTAATGCATGCTCCATTTCCCAATAGTGCAGGGGCAGACTGCACAGCAGCACGAACAGAGAGCTTCCTCCACTACAGCGCGTTCACCTGCCTCAGTGGTGAATTATGCCAAGTGTTCCTGACATTGTAAAAGCATTCCTCCCTGAACCTCAGCAGAAAGGCCAGGAGAGACCCAATGCAATCAGCTCTATTGGATCCCACACAACATATTTTGCCATTCCTACCCGGCTCGCCTATCGATCGTAAGATAAATTAAGCTAAACCGTGCCTTTCCCACTCCAAGACATCAACTATCTTTATAAATATGGGCCAGTATACTGTGCCCATTTTAGAGATGTTAATACAAAGCTAAAGAAACTTTCTGACTTGCTCAAGGTCACCAGCAGATCGGTGGCAGAGATGAAAGGAGAGAGAAGTTCCCGGAGTCTCAGGCATATATTCTTCACACTAGACTGACTATGCTAACCACCTTTTCAGCGGGCTTTGCAGAGGGACCATAAATAGTGGTTTCAGTTAAGTGCACTTACCACCCTTGTTTACAAAGTATAGACACAGGAAGTCAAAATGTAACAAAACCCAGGCTATTAGTTTTGCCTTATTTCACTAATGCAGCATTTACTTCCCCAAAATAAATACACAGCTTGACCATCTCTCTTAACAAACATCTTCACCCCCAATTCTTTTCAAATTCCTGCTGTGGAGCAAGTCTTTGGGCAGAAATATCCCACTGCATAGAAACCTACTTTGCCTAATACTCAAGCTTATTCCTCCATACGCACGTAGAAATTATACCATCAATACCTTTCACATCCTGGCCTTATTAAATGTTAATCATTCCTAAGCCTGTGGTCTGTTTAACAATCTCTCTTAATTAAAACTTTATTTTGGGGGTTTATTAGAGCTAATTGATTGACCTAAGCCATTTCCATTTACTGTGATGAATTTCATTGCAGTTTGGGTAGCTGATTTCCAAAGCTGTAAAAGCAGTATGCACTTCAGTTAACCAGCGTAAAATAGCTACTGAGACTTTATATAATTAAAATAAGCCCATGACACTTCTGCCAGGTCACTAAAACAAGCTTCATCAGCTATTTACATCCATTTTCCACCTCACACAAGTAAATCTTACCTGCCACCAAAGCCTCCACTTCCAGGATAATTGGGTCGCCCATACATGCCCTGCTGTATGTACGGCTGAGTGGAGCCTGCCTTGGCTGAAAATTGTTGCTGCTGTCCAGCAAACTGAGGGGAATTGATTCCAGGGTTGCTGGTAGTCATCCCAGAAGCCATGGGATTTCCTGCTGGGTTCATAGGGTTATTAGCATTTGCCATTGGATTTCCCAGCACCTGTGAGTAGAAACATGAGAATAAGGGGCTGTAGCTTGAACTACATCACGCAAATTAAGATGATTTGCTGCAATTGACAAATTATAATATAACCACCCTGTACTCTGAACTCTAATGAACATAATCTAGGTGCACATTCCCGCTGATTCCTCCTTTTCTTTTGCCATTTCCAAACAAAAAAGAGTTTCTGATCTCTAATTATCCTTCACAGGAGATTTTTAACTAGATGGAACCCAAACTAACACACTTATGAAAAAAGTTATGATAAAGGCCTGCTAGAACCATGCTCTGTAGGTGACAAATTCATCTGATTAAGAGAAAGTACATGCTTTTCCTTTTTTTTGATGTAGAACTTTGAAATAACTTGCAAATATTCAGTCTCATTGGCATACTGTAAAGGGTACTACAGATGCAAAAACTGTGAAAGAATATATTTCAGTGGCTTAACCTGTTCTTGACTCTAACTCTCTATAAAGTGTACAGAATTCTGTCTGTTGTTTTTATTGCTTCTTAGCAAAGAGTCCTCTGTTCTGTTTTTAAAAGGACTTGGTTTGCTTGTTTGAAGCATTTTTTTTTTTTTCAATTGAACCAAAATTGCTACAATTTCCGTTGAGACGTAAGTATGGCTGTTCATGGATCAGCTGCATGGAAATCTGTCTCCTACTTAGGAAGAAATTTAGTGGTGATGATTTTTGCAGAAGACCAAGTCATCAGCTTTGGGAATTTGTGAAAGGGAATCGGTGAGCCCAGCTCATTCCTTTCCCTCGGGGAGCATGAAGACTTACGGGAAACCCTGTCATTCATTTCAATCTGCTTGAACAGCTACAACCAAGCTTCATGTTTCAGCGTTTCACCCTTCCCTTGCAGTGATTCTGAAGGAGCATTTTCTTCTTTTTACCAAAGCATTTTTTGTCTTTCATTGCATGTTCCTTTGAAGTATCATGAAGAGTTCAAGTTACAGTACAGTGTTCTTATGACAGAACAAAACTCAGTCTTTTTTTTTTTCCTTCTCCTTTCCTTTTGCCTTTTTAAGTGTGAAAGAATTTCAAAAGAAACTATATTTCCATTTTCTGGCCAAGGTATAGACCTACCCGTTTAGTCAGGTGTTTCTCTCCTGGATGGGACACCTTTTCTTTTAAGGTGTTAAAAAGAAAGCAACAGTAATAAATGACGTTATAGATCCTGTAACTGTTTCCTCTCTTTATTTTTTGAAGAAAGATTTTGCCACAACCAGTGCTTACCTAACTACCATATCAGTATCTATAACTTGGCCCCTGAATGATTTCTTTTTCAAATGGCTCAATCCATAACAATTTTGTTTTTAATTTTCTGACCAAAATTAAAATAATTAAAAAAAAAAATCCACAGAAAATTTTGTATGGGATCTAATGTCACTTGATTTGAAAAAGGTAGAAAAGACAAGTTAGATTTATGTACCATTTGCACTCATTAAAGATGGTGATGTGTTTAGAGCACTTCATCCACGGTGTAAGAAAAGGCTAGACTGTTTGAGAGCTTGATTTGTGCCACATCCCTTGGAGAGCACACTATCACAAATAATTGGCGTCTCCTTCATTAAAGCTGCTTCTTTTTGTATAGCATAATTCAACATACATTGCAGAAGAGAAAGAGAGGTAAGAGTGGAGAGAACAGAATGAAAATCCAGTAAGTATGGCTCTCACCTGGAAGCCAGGAGCTCGTGCTTTTGCTCCAACGCATATTGAAATATTTTTGCTAAGTAAGGCAGTGTTAACAGGAGAGGTTGAAAAGAGCACAGCTTATAGCTGGTAGTTAGCACCTCAGCGTTGGGGTAGACTTGGCACTGGATTTCACCAGCCCACAAGTACAACACAACGCCGGGTAAAATCAACAGTAACTGTCATTTGGTGAATCTAGACAGAAATTCTATTTTTAATAAAACAACTCTTCAAATTCAATCTGAAATTCCCAAGAGGTCATGCTTTTAGTGTTGAAACCATACAGCGCAAAGTACATGCTAAACCCAAGCCTGACATTTGCATGCAGCTAAAGGAGTTACTGACTCAAGCTCTCAGATGCCTCCTTTCTGATGCCACCAAAGAGGACGCGACTGGAAAAAAAATGCAGCATGTACAACAAAGAGAACACAGACACTGTTCTCGATCCCTAGAGGATTTTCCAAAACGCTTTCCATTTTGCAAGCATTAGTGAAAACCAGTATCTACAGGGGAGGGAGCATAAAAACAAAGCTTACCTGGCTTTGAGAGGTGTTAGTCACACCCCATACTGTGGTGACCACCGATAAAGAGCCTGGAGGCTGGTTGGTATTTTGCTGCCAGGGAACAGAATCGTAAGGGAAAGACCCATCACTGCAAAAAAAAATGTTTAGGAGGGTGAGATTTTGGAAGTTTGAACAGTGGCAAGTTGCTGGCGGGGACAAAGGGATTAACACCTGACATTACCTTAACTCCCCACTCCTACTTCCATTATTAGCCTAGTACTCTCAGAGGCATAAAGTTTCTTTAATAGCAACGTGATCATATCAAAACCACACAGAACTAATGAATTCCTTAACTATACCGAAGCACAGGGCTTTTACCATAAAGGTCTGTTACCAATGAAAGTAAAAATAAACTCAGGGGCAGAGTTTCAAACAAGGCCACTAAGCAAGTTGCTCAGAAGCACTTATTTTTTGCAATCCATCTCAAACGCTTCAACAATCACTGCTTCAGCTGCCTCGTATCAATTCAATTAGATTTTGAGACCAGACTGCAGCTCCACTGTCTGCACATTTGGGTCCCCAAATGGCCAGAAAAGCCTTTAAAGGAATAGCAGTTCAACATCATTTTGAAAAGTAAATTGACATTCAGATAGTGTTCTCCCACACGATGGATAAGCTGCATGCCAAAAACAGTATTAGCTAATCAGCATTCTAGAAAATCATCTGCAGATACACAACACATCTTTCAGATAAATATGTGGATGAGAGGATTGGGTTTTTCCATTACCTTTGTCCACAGACACAAGCAAATATTTCTTACAGTTCTTTTCATACAAAAGCATTGGCGGTTTCAAAACGAACACAGGATAGGTACGCATCCAGTGTAATTAATGAAATAGGTTAAATCCAGTGAAAGTAGCTATTAATCCCCTAACCGTAAAATATATCCCACTTGAAATTTGCTCGTTCTCATACTATTAACTTGTAAATTAGATTTCTATTTGCATATATGTACACATACACACGCGTGATCTTTCCTCATCTAGATATATATACCATTTAATACACACACACACACAGACTGCTCTCATTTTCAAACGCCATTGACTTGTATTTTATATCAAGAACTGCATTTTTGCCTGGACTACCAGCTATCACGGGAATTCTACACAGGGCTACCTTGCCTAAAGAATCCATACAGGCTCTACAAGCACTGCATCCATGTGCTTCAAAGCCTGCAACCATAAAGTGCCACACAGTTAACTCATACAAGATGCGGTGAGACAACCAACCTGCCAAAGTCCTAAAAAGGGCTCTGTGGCCGTGGCAGGCCAGAGAGCTGACTCTCCCATGTCCCCAGACAGCACGCCAGGCTTGGTCCACTTCTTCCTTTTGTGCCGTGAGCCAAAATCAAGGACTACCTACGTGTTCATTCTTTAGCCTGTTCATGACGCCTAGTGTAAATCACTTAAGAATAGGAATTGCATTGCACAAAGAAGGGCGCACGCGTGTGATCAAAACTGCCTATGTCCCGAGTAACCAATAATCTAACAACAGCAACAGCAACTGTGTAAGGTAAAATGAAACAGTGAATACATTTTACAAACAACTAGGAAATTTCAAACAAATTCCATAATGCTGCGCCAGCACAACAGCATTGAATTAGAACATAGCTGTGAATTTGAACTGACCTGTTTGTTTCAAAATACCCAAATTGAATTAAGAAATAAAATCACAAAAAAATTAAAATAAGTTAAATTAGAGAAGAGAATAATTTCCCCTAACAAATAATTAGGGAAAATTAATGGAAAATAGTAATTCTCCATAAGATGCTTGACATGTATGTTTACATTGACAGCATCCATATAAAACAATGTGTGAATAAGGGCATATTTAATACCTTGCAATCAGTAAGTCCTCCTAGCCCATTTTTTAAAAAAATATTTTCTCTTAGAAGGCTGAAAATCTTCCTCCTTTCATTCAGAGGCTCAGATAATGGCTTCAGTGACTAATATTTGCAAGTGACGCAATGCTTCAGCAAGTCCCCTCCACCAGCATGGAGACAAATGATGACTAACCCAGAATTTGTGACTGCTCTGAAGCCTTCCTCTTTTTTCCTGCTCTGAATGATGCCTCCTACTTTACTTCCTTCTCTGACTGTTTTTGATGATGTCTGCTCTCTGATTTGTTTGGATATTTATGGCACATATGAGTGTTTGCATACTTCAACGACTAAAAGAAGCTCTCTCCATGACATAAGCAGTTAAAGGACTCACTGCAGCCATTCTTCTCTATTCCCCACCGATGTGCTGTGGACAGGTAATAAAACCTGAGGGACAAGGCAAATATTTTGCAAGTGTGTGAGTAAATAAGGAGGGTAATGACAGGCAGGGATCAAACCACAGAGTCACTGAAGGTTCTTCTAACGCAAATATGCCATACGGTTTGCACGCATACTCAACCTTTGAGCCAGCATGTCTTAGCCTGCTGTTAAGAAGTTATAACCATTTCTTCATTTTCTTTGCCTCCAAAGCATGTTTCTCTTACCCGTTCCTCTCCTTTACAGTGCACAGAAGAGATTTCATGTATTATTCACCCGTACTTTCCAATGGTAGAGTCAGAGCATTTGTTTAGTGGAAAGCTGCACTGGGTTCTCAAAGACTATACAATCACTTCATCTAATTACAAAGAAGAGTAAGTCACTCAATTTTTACTGTATTACAGTTAAAATGGGAGACACCTCAAGAAACCATTTTGTTGACATATGATGAAAGCCTCCAGCACAGGACCCAGCATAACACAGGAAAGCCAGAAAAAAAGACCAGGTACAGATTTGTTGAGAAATATTAATTGTGCACATTGAATCCCGTGACTATTACATTATCCAACACAGAACTTAGCTTTAAATCGCAGACAACATTAATATCGGAGATTATGGCAACACTGAAACAGTGATGGATGTGCCTTGCAGAACATCAACTTATACACGCTAATATACACTTACTGCGCTAGACTTCACTCAAACTTCACTTTAGTTACCCCAATGAGAAATACACGGCATTCTTGTGGTTTGCATTCCCCAGCATGATACTCTGGCCCATCGCCAATCACACGCATGTTTGAGTATGACTTTTGCCATACTGGATACAATACCCTTCCTCTACCGCACGAGGGCTTCTTCGGTTTCAAGCGGTAGGAGATGCTGAAACATGTGCCACTCAACTAAAGGATTATTTGTCCCTCCACTTCGCTCTTTCAACTTGCGTTTCTGTCCTTAGACAACCCAAAGGAATACTCCCACCATCAAAGGAAAATCCATGTAAGTACCATAATGAAACGTGACCAATCCAATTCTCATTGCAAAAGAGCAGTGGCTTTCCGCTGTTATTATACAGAGCTGTGAATTATTCCGAAATCCCTTTCTTTAAACTTGAAAATGGCAGCCCATAGAGGAAGAAGCTTCAACCTCTCCAGCCACAGCAAAATGCTGCCCATGACATTGTTCCTGTTGAACGGTACAAGGGTAATTAAGTCTCTCACTAGACCCTGGAGGGCAGTGAGTCAGTTTGGGCTCAGCTGGAGTCCGCTAAAAGAGTATTGACTAAATTTATAATAGTGTTAATGAACCTATACATACTACTGGTCAGCATTAAAGGCCAAACAGCAGAGGAAGCCACAGAGCAAAGAGGAAGAGACGGAGGGAAATTACTTCTCAAAACTATGATGTAGTGAAACTGCAATCAAGGAATAAAGAGGAAGGATTTCTTAGCTGCTGGCAAATGTACTGAAACCATCAGTAATACAACACTCATGTCAGAGAAGTACACCGGTACTTAGGTCTAAACAGCTTCTCTTAATCTCCGTACTAGGAAAACGGAACCAGACGGATATCCAGCCTCTTTGGAATAGTCTGTGTCTGACATGAAGTCTGTAACTGTTAGTTAATTCTAATAAAAGTTGCTTAATAAAAAGTGAGCTCTGTAAATTAATACTAGTGAATTACTGTAATTTATACATGATTTGTGGCATTATTTGAAAATGCTGTATTTTAAATATGTTTATGTTGTCATTAAAGCAATTGTATGTGTATCTGATACTCTGTTTACATGTCTTCATTGATTGAGGAAGGAGAGATTCAGATGGTTTAGTGAAGTACGCATCCCTAGAGCATTGGCACTTTACATGTTGTGAAGGAGGGTAAAAACCGGAATTATACCTTCCCAGTGATCCTCCACTTCACTTGTTGAGAAGGCCAGGTGTCAAAAACACTGCCTTTGTAAAGCATCTATCTCCGTTTTAAACACTGAATATCTATCAACTACTGCAGAAAAGCACCAGATGTTGGCTTTCTCAAAAAACCTTTTCACTCCAAGCACCGCAATCAAGTTTCCCCACAACTGGGCTTCCAGTGACTAGTTTCTGTTGCTTACCCTGAAGCCAGCTTTACAGTTTTGCAGGGGTCTTTAACGTTTCTGAAGCACAGTCACCCCACCTGACTGGTAGCTGACACATACAGAGTCCGCAGAGTCCTTTAAATCTATAGACTCTATCATAACTTCTTCAGCTGACGCCAAGATGAGCAGGTAATTGCCAGTGTAACAATGACTCTCATTTCTCCCATATCTTCTTTTGTCACCTATGGACACCCAGCGAGGAGAGCATCTGACAACAAGGAGTGAGGTGTCAGACATCTACCCAGGCCAAACACTCCTTTGCAGTTACACACGGCCAAAAATCAGAACGGTCCAAATACAGGCCAAAACCAGGGCTCCCGATCTGTTCTTGCCCGCCGGCACCTCTCTGTGTCTGCACCTCGCTCTGCCCCTACAAGTGCCTCTGGGCACACGTGTGCTCAGGGTGCCCAGCACCCCTTGGCTGTATTCTTGGTTGGAGCCTCTAGGTGACACTACTTTAATACAAACTAAAACCTAACAATCTCCAAACAAGGCTCCTTGCTCCTGCCTCACCCCTCTCTTCCCCCTAAAACTTCATCTGTCTGCAGTGGAAAGATATCACAAATCCCACAATCAGAACAGGAAATAAAGCTGTAACTGTAGCACCAATACATGCGTTTCATGCCTGTATTGTCTCACAAGTTAGGCAGCTTAGCTTCTTTCGTTCAGGTTTAGTTTTTGTTTTACTTGGGTT